TGAGCTTTGTGGCTATCCGGTAGCGCTGAAATCGTTGCCGCCATTCAGGCCATTGCTCTGGCCGTGAAAAATCAAAAGCTTCCGGAGGTGGGAATTTCTCCATCGTTGAACGTCTTCTGACACCATGTGGTGGAAGGCTGAGTCAGTGATGTCACCGATATTGTATTTTAACTTCTTTAATATTGAACAAAAATATTCACATGCGAGCAGATCACTGAGCAGTGCGTGGCTTTTTGTGTCCTTTTCCGATCTGCTCCGCTTCCGGTTTCATCTCAATGTAACCTTCCACATAAACTAGTGCCATTACATTACATAAGCGTTCTGTGGTAAGGTTACAAGCAATTAATATCTTACCTGTTGTAGATAGCTCTTTGATCACAGTTTGGAAAAAGAGTTTAATTCTGATCTTATTRACTGGAAAATCTCAAATCCTTCATGGCTTCTCATACAAACATTTTGTCTTAAACTTCTTCAGTAACAACAGTTTAAAATGATACAGACATCCTATCGTTCCTGGAATAACTAGGAAGGGGTTTGCCTCTTGGTGTGGATTTTTTAAAACATTATCTTGTGGGTATTCTCTTGGGTACYACCATACCAAACTTCAGCTCARTATGGCCAAACATGGCCACGTTATGGTCAATTTTACTTTTTAGCTGTGGCGGCCATCTTGGATTTTTGATTTGAGGTCAGTATGTTAYGGGGATCTCTTTCAAATACCACCACACCAAAGTGCAGCTCAATATGTCTAGAAATGACTGAGTTAGTGATTTTTATCAAAGGTGGATAACAATCGGTGCCACCTAATAAACAGCAGTGTGGTTGTTACGTAACAATGATCCCATGAAGTGCTGAGAATTCTTTTGTCATTAGAGTTGTTTTAAAGCAAATGCTCAGACTAGCCTTTGTACTAGTTGATTTGGTCAAAATCAAACAGTTTTTCCAAACAGAGATTGTCAAATACCCATCTATAACAGGTAAGATATTAATTGCYCATAGCCTGACCACAAAACCCCACTCAAAAAGATCTGGGCCCGTATTTATCAAACTTCTTAGAATTACTCTTAAGAATGCTGCTAAGAGTGGACTTAAGTGTAAAAAATATTCTTAGTTAAAAGCTGAGAGTAAAAGTCAGTTATCAAGCACCTCAGTCTTACTTTAAGGGAGGAGTAATTTTTAAGTGTCAGTCTAAAGCTGATCCTGTATGATTTYGTTAGGAAAAACCCCAGCATGGACCAATCACTGCCTCGGATTTCATGTTCAACAATATTGTTGGAGAAAAGTCAAGACAAGACTGTGAAAATCCTAAGATAAGTTCACTTTCAACACACTAATGYTGTCACCTTGYACTGATTGTCTGTAAATTACATAAAATGTCCTCATTTGCATCATGATGAAAATTTTTTTAAATCAAAAACTCAGCAGCTTTAAAGTTATTTCATGTCTCAGAGCCTGAGATGGTGTTGAGCTTGCACCCTTCTCCTCTTCGCCACTGTCTGCAGATAACATCGGCTTTA